CCCCCTGATCATGCGAGTGGCCCTCCTCTGGACCCTCTCCATGTTGTCCACATCCCTCTTGAAGTGCGGCACCCAGAACTGGACATATTCCAGCTGCGGCCTGACCAGTGCTGCGTAGAGGGGGAGTATCACCTCCTTGGACCTGCTTGAGATGCACCTGTGGATGCATGACAAGGTACGGTTGGCCTTCCTGACTGCATCCCCACACTGCCAGCCCATGTTCATCTTGGAGTCAATGATGACTCCAAGATCCTTTTCTGCCTCTGTACTGACAAGAAGGGAGTTCCCCAGCCTGTAGGTATGGTGCTGGTTCTTCCTCCCCAGGTGCATCACCTTGCACTTGTCAGTGTTGAATCCCATCCTATTCTCATCCGCCCACCCCTGTAACCTGTCTAGGTCTGATTGCAGCCTATTCCTCCCTTCTGGCGTGAATTCCTCCCTTCTAGCATTGGCTCAACAGGTAGTGATCAATTACCTGAGGGGTGGTTCCAAAGAGGATGGAGATAGATTGTTCTCAGCTGTGGCAGATGACAGAACAAGGAACAATGATTCTTAAGTTGCAGCAAGAGAAGTTTAGGCTGGATATTAGGAAAAACTGTCTCATTAGGAGGGTGATGAAGAACTGGAATGGGTTACCTACAGAGGTTTTTTTTTAGGCCTGGCCTGAAAAGCTCTGGGAGTGGTCTTCAGTAGGGGGTGGCCCTGCTTTGAGCAGGGGGTTGCACTAGATGACCTCCTGAGGTCCCTTCCAACCCTAATTTTCTATGATATGGTATATACATGGGACTCATTTCAAATGTGAAGTTACCTATGTGTGTTTGCAAAGACAGACCATGGCATTTAAAAATATTTGCTCTACCTTCACATTCCATTAGAGCAGTTTTCATGTATTACATGCATTTGATTATGAATTGAACTATAAACTCATAGTGTGTTTTTTTAAATCACTATACAACTCCAAACACCAATATTTCAAGAGCAAAGTAAATCAGAGATGTCTCTGTGTAGCAGGGACTTTACGTAATTAAATATTACAACAGAGGTGAGAACTGTAATCTTCTTGTGAATTGATACAATAGGAATAACACTGTATTATGAGATCACTCTTAGTAATGCTTCTTCATGCATCATAACTATAAGACTTTACTTTTTTAGTAAGTGATTTGACTTGGATTTAGTAAGACCTGAGCTCTATTCATGGCCCTATCACAGACCTTCCTAAGAAAAGGTGAAGGTTTCCAAAGGTGGGCACTGAATTACTATATTAATTTTGAATCTTTTTTCAAGAAGTGCTGAACACACCCCAGATCCAACTGAAACTGAAGGTGACAAGGCTGTGCATCCAAAAATTACTTTCAGAGTTTGGCCTTGTTGTCTGTTCAATTCTCCATCAATAAAGTTTCCTGTAATAAAGCAGTACTGTATACTGATACTTTTCCAATTGGCAGTGTCACAGCTGTTTTCTTTATGTGAAATCAGAAAGAATTTCATAGGTTTTAAGAAGAATACATGCCTCATCCTGAATGTAATAATAACCCTCTTCACATATGGCACCTTGTAAGCAGCTTTAAGAAGGACAAAACATACATCCTCCACAAAACAGATGGAACGTGAAAGGAGAGGCAGTCAAACCTAGTGGGGGAGAACAGGTTAAGCATGGTTGCTGATATTCAAGGCAACCAAAGGGAAAGAAAACTTGCCCAGAGCTCCCTCTTGCTCTTCCTGTGTAGCAGTCTGCAATGCCACCAGTCCCAGCTGTCCTCCCAACACACCTTTGATCTGCTGCCATGAAACAAGACAAAGAAATGGAAAAGAATTCCTGGATTAGATTCCAATCCCTTGCTATTGCAACCACCACATCACATCATCTTCCATGAATTGATCAAGTGCATTCTTAAAACTAGTTTGGTTTTTTTTGCCCCCCACTATTCCTATTGCCAGGCTGTTCCAGATCCTCACTGTTCTAAGGATTAGAAAGTATCTTCTACCTCCCAGCATAAATTAACTCATGACCAGTTTATACACATTTGTTTTTATGCCAACATGTTCTTTGGCTTCTTTGTCTTTGGTGTGTACTCCCACCCCTTCATGCAATTTTAGAGAGCAATAGTGTCTCCTTCTCAACTTTCACTTTGCTAGGCTAAACCAACCAAACTCCTTTAAGTCTCCTCTTATATTGACAGGATCTCAGATCTCTTGTTCAACCAGGAAGTCCTAAGAGCAGAGACATAAGCTGCTTAGTCTCCCCAAACCTATCTTTCACTCCCTGACAGTGAAAGTCTGTGACACAGCATGCTCAGGAAGTAGAATTTCAGTGTTAAACTTTGTTTGTTCTCCTGACAGCAGATCAACCAGCTATTGCAAGGAAGGCTGAGGACAGAAAATGCCTATACATATAATATATGTGCACTCAGGGAGAGCAGAAAGGGGCTTAAGGTTGTTTTTCTCCTTGACGCCCCAGAAGATGTTCCCAAGAAGTGGGTACCTGCTCTTGAGAGCTTCAGGAAGGCTACAAGCTGAGAAACAGGAATACAGGACAATACTCAGAATCATCTGTCATAGTAAGTACCATATTTACTCGAATCCAAGTAAATTCTGAATTTAAGATAACATTAATAAGTAGATTCTATAAATGGAAAATTTATAAATGTGTTATAATTTTCCATGTATAGAACATAATTATTGAAGGGTTAGCTTAAATTCACCCCCCACCCCCATTGCAGCAGGGAAAGCAGTGGCAGGGGGGCGAGTGGTAGTGGGAATCAAGCAGTTTGACCTCTGCCCCTTCTACACCTTGCCATAGATAACACCACCTGCCTCACCACTTACTCTCCCTGCTGTCAGCTCCCCAGCACCTGCCCCACAACTACTACTTGCCCCCACCCATGTCTGCCCCCCTGACACATGCCTGCCATCCCTGCCCTGCCCCCTCACCCAACCTTCTGCACCTTTTGCTTACCCTCATTCCAGCTCCAGCTCTGGCACAGCCAGAGCCATGCCGAAGCTGGAGGGAGGGTAAGCAGTGGCAGGGGGGAGGGGACAGGGAAAAAAGGGAACCCAAAATAAGGGGCTTTTTCCCATCATGTTAAATGGGGAAAAAACCTTGTCATGGGTTTGAGTGAACACAGTATTTCTTAGATACTGAAATCCTTGTAGGCAGGGTGAATGGTTTCTTATTCCATACAAGACAACACATACTACTGATGCTCAAACTAGCAGGAACAACTAATATCCTAGAAAAATGTGCCTGTATTTTTGAAGCTTTGAAGTTAGTTGTAACTTGGAGCTCTGATGTCACAGCCATTTTACAACAGTTTTAATAAAATGTAACCTTTCCAACAGGGCTGTACTATAAGAATGCAATATGGTATGCGCTTCCCCTAACTCCAGTCTCTTAACCTGAAATGGGTTCTTGGAAACAATCTGAAAGTAAATAATAAAATGGTGCAATTTACCGTGCAGAAGTATTTTTCAAAAGAACAGGAGCTATGATTGAGGCTGATCCTTGGACAGAGAGACACGAGACATTGAGGCCCCGTGTTTCCTCATAACCCCAGAACCAGCCCCTGTAAGAAAAAACAAAACCACCACATTTCAGGCAGCAGGCCACTATGTTTAAATGAGTTTGTTCTGTACAGTAGAATTAGTTAACAGTACTTCCTAGAGAAAAAACAACCTTTAGTCCCCCCCAAAAGGGAGAGCCTCCAATAAAAAAAAAACTTCTTTATATTTCAATTGTATTCAATAATGATCTGTTTAGAGTCAGGTCTCTCAATGTCAATGTTATATTTTGTTATTAATAGGGGGTTTTTTTAAAACCCTGAAACATATTTTCTGGGATTTAAAAAAAAAATCTATTTGTAGACTTAATTTACTGGGAAAATTATCCTTTTCACTTAAAAGAAACAATCATCAACTTTTACATAAAATTTGATAAAGTTAAATAAAAGCCTCTCTCAGATTCCTCTGTTCCAGATTAACAGTACTGTTTAGACAGTCTTCACGCAAAGTTCCTTTGTGACTGAGTAGCAGAGGATATTCTACGACTAATGCAAGGTGCTTCCATTTGCAAAGTGGCTGAAAGACAGTGCGCCAAGCAGAACCCTTCTAAATGAAAAGCAAATGAGCATTTTCTAAATGGAAAGCAAATGAGCATTGCAAACCGCCCAGAACATTTATATTGACTCATAAAAGAAATGTTAGAAATACAGTGGCATACAATATTTCTGATGCTAGGTAAGAGCTAGAAAGGTTTTAATGAATTCACTTTTAAGGGAAAGGTCTGGCTGCCTTTTAACCAGTTTCTCTTCCTTGGGAAGTTATCATGGGTTTACTCTGTTGTGACCAATCACAGTGGACAGCATTATATCTAAATTAACCTCTTGCCGATTGCTATCCCAGAAGTAGCAGAGCTTTCTGCAGGTAAGTCTAGAAAAACACTGCTCTGGGAGCTCCTGCCCACAAAGTCTATGACTACTGAGAGTTATGCTACAACAGTAGGGGCCAACTTTTTTGGCAGGTGTGCCACAATTTAGGCTCACACCTTTACTGAGTGCTGCTCTGGTCCCCTTCCCCTGCCCAATCTGCTGCTCCACTGACTGTTCCATACATGCTACAGGTTGGCCACCCCTAGCCAGAATCTGGGGTGTCATTCCTGGAATTACCCCTTTCAGAAAGCTACTTCCTGCCATACTAACACTCAAAGTAAGGGAGATGCCAACAGACCAAGCATACTTCTAAGCCTGTAAAATAGGTCACCCACAACTTTTCAAAACTAAATAGGCCTAAACTCAGTTCAGCTGATAACAAGGAGCATGTAGATTTTGATTAAGCTGTTAGTCCACTTTAATATAATTACTTCAAAATGTGGATCTATTTCTTTATAGTTACTATAAATATGGCACTGATGGAGGCTCTGTGCTTACTTCTCCCACAAGGCCTCCAGATAAAACTTAAAAAAAAATGTTTAAATTTACAAGTAAGGAGCTATCTATCCTAAAACACCATCGCTGCCAACTCCAAGAGACCTGTAATTGCTGAGTTTCTTCCTGCTCCCCCATCACCACTAGTTATGAAGATTTTGTAGAAAGCACTGCTCACAGTGGTACATGTGAATAACAATTCTGTTGAGGATTGAAGAGGAACAGAATCTTACCTCTGTCCCAGAAGCTGTATTGGCTCTGCAGGGTGAGAGGGATTAAAAGGGTAAAACAAGACAAAACAAAAAACTGTAACTGAAGTCAGCCAGAACTGCTGTGAATAAATTTGTCATATTCTGTCAGTGTTGAGATGATGTTGTTGCCATGATGATCCAGGAAATATATGAGGGGCAAGAATTGCTGTGGGTGGTATCTTTTATTGGACCAATGGCATGGTCGGGACAGACATAGGTAAGCTTTTAGGCCTCTAACATTTTTTGTTGCTTCCAAATCAGCCATAGATATAAAATTCCAGGTTGAAATGATAATAAGTACTCTGCCCCAGAGACATATATTGTTCATTTCTTGTAGTCTCTATACTCAGGGAGTAATGGACCGGGGGGGGGGGATAAAGAAGCCTGTCAACCACATTTATGTGGGTAAAGTAAAGCAGTTTCCCAAGGACTATTCTTACATTATTCCTGCAGGTGGACACAGGATTCATCTAGCTGAAAATATATCGTGTAAGTTTTTCACAAACTCCCTCCCTCCCTCCCTCTAAAAGAGTACAGTTCATGTTTACAGTTATGATTTCAGCACAATGGGTTTCTCTGGCTAGAAGGCACTGCCCCACACTAAACACACTGCAATAATCCAATACAGAGTTTAAAAAATGCCTGAATAACTGCAGTGAGGACCACATTAAAAACAAATGAACAGCCTTCACACTTAAACAAATTGACAGAATATGTCCTTGACAACTGCTACTACCAGAATCATGGCTGCAGGGAAGCCATTTATGCTTCCATTAATGAAGAACCCAGTAGTTCCATATCAAGTGTAGATTAAATATTACAGGCATTAGAAAGTATTTCCATGGGGACTTCAGATATTCATCCTACGAGTTTTACTTGAAATAGCTTTTAAACTTACTCTGCACTAAGCCTCAATTAAAAGTTATCTTTTTAAGAGATTCTAATTTCTAATTTTATTTCTTAAAAGTAATAATCACCTCACACAAGGTGATTTTTCAAGTTTCTCCATAACTGGAAATTGTCAGAATTTTTCTTGTTTTCCAGAAGAAAATTGTTGTATTAAAAACCTGAGCAAAGACACCTCCCCTCAGGAGTTGAGACAGAAGGTATCAGGAATAATACATGCATTACTTGCAAATAAATGCTAGAAAAGTGTTTCCAAAGTAGTTTTTCCCAGGCTCAGCTTCATTTACAAGACATCTTTCTCCCTTGAGTCTCAGGAGAAAGAGAAAAGCAAAATTATCTAATGGATACCATATCTATTTTCTGTCTCTTAACAAGGCTGAAATTCAAATTTCCTCTCTCTGCTTAAGCAGTTTTATTTGAAATTGTGTCTCCTACTTACACTTCCCTTAACACACCACCCTCCTAACCCCATAAGCCAAAAGTGTCATTGTTCTTCACAAATAAAGAAAAATGGATATTAGGAATCTAATATACTGTGAGACATTACCTGTAGTATTCATGTTTGTCTTTTGAGTACATGAGCTGATCAATGCATGGCCTCTCATCTATTTTCTCCTCCCAAGTTCCTTCTTTCCATCCTTCTGCATAGCCTTGTAGAACATATACCTGTTCAATAAAAGGTCCACCTGACTCTAAAAAGGAAATGAAGACAGATCATCATCAAATACCCGTTCCATGCAAATGTATATATAGTAGCACTACTACTTGTTAAAAATCTGCCATACTTTTGAACGTTCTATAAGTTCGGGAAATTTACACACACAAAAAAAGGATCAAAGTGAACTGTATCATAGGTGCTCCACTTATACATGTAATTTAGTTCACTGTATAACACAATGGCAGTTACAATTTGATGTCTACTGCTTACATTGTAAGAAATTCTGGAAATCTGCATATTAAATGCAGACATTGCGTAAATGCCTAAGTGCAGCTTCACTGCCTGCTTTGCAACTAAGGGAGACCAAGCTGCCGATGGGATGCTACTAGAAGCCCTCTCGGCAGCCTAGTCAGCTCAACAATAATACAATATTGACAGGGCTATGTACTTAAGGAGCACTGGCTACAAATCTATTATTTAACATGAATTTTTCCCATCCTTTTAGTTTTATCTTTAGTATTTTCCCCTCACTCTTTATTTCTCTCTCTTCCCTTCTCCTGCCCCCTTGTGGTAATCTTGTGATGGAGGCTAGGACATAGAACCTGGACACCCCTTGAATACAGTAAAATTATGAGCATTTGTGTTATCTACACTCACTCTTAAAGATGGATTTAGGCTTTAGCTTGGTATGTCATCCTAAGGGCAATTACCTTCTAATACAAAACTTCAGGGAACTTTGGTTGTTTTAATTATGCACATAAAAATGGAAGTTTTAATCTTTCAGACGACTTTTGCTTCTACAATTAAAGAGAAATCTTATTTTTCAAACCTAATGTCCTGGAGTCAGTCTATAATTACTTCTGCCATAGCATTTTTTAGAAGTACTTAAAGTTAGGCTTGTGTGCTGAGGATAAGGAATACCTATTTTATGCACAGAACTATATATGTCCACTACTGTCTTTTTCTCATAGTGACAGTAATTATGTCAAATATTTTAATAAGACACTAAATTTAGTGACCTACCTTAAAACTGTTATTACTCACTGGAGTGCAGATTGACTTTAGACTCATTAATGAATGTTAACAATCTCCTATTTACATGGCCTTGTAGAGCTGGAAGAGAACATAGGACCCTGATCTTAGTAGCTACGTGGGTACTTAGCCAAAAGGCAGTTTGTCAAAACTGTATAATTAATGAGTCTCACCATAGTTTATTGGGAATCCAGTATGGCATGAGTGTCAAACATATGGCCTTCAGGTCAGATCCAGCCTATGAAGCTACATGATCCAGACCAAGGATCTTGTACTGAACCTGCACACTACATGTGGTATGCAGAGCCTTCTGGCACATGGGCTGGACCTGGTGGTGCAGTCACTACTTACAGCACAAGGTGTTGGTCCAGTGCACACACTGCATGTGATGCCCATGACAGACTGACCCTGAGCACTGGCACTGGGATATTCCAGATCCAACCATGCTGGAGTCAGCATGTAGGGCTGTCTGGAGTGAAACTGAATGCAGCATGTGCCCTGAACCAACCCTCTACGCCGTGAGCAGCGCTTACAGTGCTGGATCCCGCTCACATGCAGCCCACACCAGCCCTGCTCTTGGGTTTGAGCTGCCTGTGGCATGCAGGCTGGCTGTGTAGGTGCTGCCAAAAGCACAGGGGGATAGCACAAGGCGTGTGCTGCACACTGCACCCTGTTGGACTGGCCCTGCTGACTGGCTCTGGCACAGCCTGATCTGGTCTGCAGACCAGCTGTGACACCCTCATCTGGCCTGCAGGGCTGGTTAAGTTTGACACCCCTGCAATACTTTACTTTTTTAAAAGGAAATCCCGCCCTCCTCCCTCCCCATTTTTAGATTCCTAGAACAGCAGCAAAGCTTACAGGTCCTGGGTTGCAAAAGTGACATAAACTTCATCAGTGGACTTCATATTTAACGATTTCTTTGCCTCCATTTTCCTAAGCAGGGACCGGAACAGTCACCCCCCCGCTGGGCCCCCCTCAGGCCCCAGGGGAGGCACACCTAGGCCAAAGGTTAGTGAGGAACTAGTCAGGAAACTTGTGGAGGGACTGGATGTATTCAAGTCAGCTGGTCCGGATGATCTCCACCCTAGAGTACTGAGGGAATTGGCTGAGGTCATTGCAGGACACCTGGCATGGCTTTACGAGCACTTGTGGTGCTCTGGTGTGGTGCCAGAGGACTGGAAGAGGGCCAGTGTGGTTCCCATCTTCAAAAAGGGGAAGGAGGAGGACCCGGAAAACTATAGGCCAGTTAGTCTTACCTCGATCCTGGGCAAGCTTTTTGAGAAAATTATTCTGGC